TATACTTCTCGGATATGGTAATGGTTCTTTTGCAAATCAAACTACGTGTTCAACTGGTCGTTCGCCATCTCTTGTAGCTGTTGGCGATTTTAACAATGATACTCGACTAGATATCGTCTTTGCTAATGAAGGTGACAACACTGTAAGTGTACTTCTCGGATATGGTAATGGTTCTTTTACAAATCAAACTACGTATTCAACTGGCCTTTATCCACAATATGTAGCTGTTGGTGATTTTAACAATGACATTCGGCTAGATATCGTGGTTGCTAATCAATTTGACGACACTATAGGTATATTTCTTGGTTACTTAAATCTGGATTTTCAATATCAAATGACACTAATAACTGGGAACCGGTCTGTTCCGCGATCATCTGTCGTTGGCGATTTTAACAATGACACTTATATGGATATTGCTGTCGTAAATTCAGGCACCAATAATATTGGTATTTTTCTTGGATTTGGCAATAGTTCTTTTTTAAATCAAACAACATTTACAACTGGCTCTGGTCCATGGTCTTTAGCTGTTGCTGATTTAAACAACGATAATCGATTAGATATTATTGTCAGTAATATTAATGATAGTAACATCAGTGTATTTCTCGGTTATGGGAATGGATTTTTTATGAATCAAACAGTATATTCAACTGGAATTAATGCTGAACCTTACTCAGTTGCTATTGGTGATTTTAATAATGACGCCTTATTAGATATCATTGTCGCTAATTACCGTGCTAGCAATGTAGTTATATTATTTGGATCTGGTGGTGGTAGATTTACAGATTCAAAAATATATTTGGTTAGTTATGGATCTTTTCCATTTTCTGTTGTTGTTGGTGATTTCAACAATGATACAAAATTGGATTTTGCGGTCGCAAACTATGGTACTGACAATTTAAAGATTTTATTACAGACTTGTTAATTGATCTCTCTAACTTTAAACATTTTTATTGTTCATTATTTTTCTATATTATGCATTTGCTCTTACTAATATTTCTTATAAACTTTTTTTTGTCTTACTTTATTTAATATATTCGATTAGTTAGAACTATCAAATAAATATGTTCACAAATAAAAAACTATATTGAGTTATTCCCTAGGATTGCGACTTATAATTACTGTTGTGAAACTGTAGAGAGCGCAAACCTCATGTACGCACAGGACAGACTTGAAGGTGGATATTGATGAAGAATAACTATAACATGCTCACATCCACATATTGATTATGTTGTAGAATTTCATTAATATTTTCTTTTATTGTAATAGAACATTGTCTGTAAATAGTTTTATTATAAACAATACTTTGATAAGCATCGGTGATAATATTTAATATTCGCCGATAAAATAATTATATAAAAGAAGAAAAATAAAAATCGAATAATTTGTAATGTTCTTAGTGTGATTTAAATCTCGAATCTTCATAAATTCCCGATTATTTTAAAAAGGAAAATGAGTTAAATTTTGGCAGAAGCTGAAAACAAAAGAAGAACTTTTTTTTTTATAAAATGTACGAATTATCATGATTTCATTAATAAAATATTGCATAATCGATTTTCCACGTGTTCATTATCATGAAAAAGTGTCACACAAACAAATTTCATCTCTTAAAATTGGAATACAAGGCAAGCCCCATTCAGCTTTTTTCTCTGTATTGGTAATCATGTATTTATGATAAGACATAAACTATTAGAACAGATTTATTGAAAAATAAAATTGTTTGATGATAAATAAATCCATTAATCTCGATGAGATAAGTGTTCTTAGTTTATTTGTCTATTTCACTCAATAAGTCACTTCAGACATATATCTAGGAGGATCATTCGAATAGTAGAATTTATGTATGATTCGACATCTAGACTCTTATTGTTGAATCTGATTGGATCTCACTAGTCGAATTCTATCGTATGATTAGCTTAATTTCTACTAGTAGGATGAAATACCAATATGAACTCATACAAGATAATAGAGTTTAGCCCTTGGATTCGATTGAAAGATTGTTATCGAAGGATGCCTTCTTTAACTTGGAAGCAAGGGATGAACATTCACATACTGAGGTGGGTTTTTTTTACTGACTTCTTGAGATAATTGTTCCGGTCTGAATGACAAAAAGAGAATGCTTCTCGTCAAACGATTTCCTGACAGCAAAAGGGACGATTACTCATCCTCAACGTGACTATTGATGCGCACGTTGCATTCTACTAACCTCATCTTCTTTATCCAGTGGTTTTGAAATTAATCGATGTAATCATCAGTAGAATCGCATGTTTCCTCAACAATGTCGTCGAAATAAACGTATGAAGGTATTTTATTTCTTTTCCGGATTTGTTAACATATTCATAGAAAGTATACGTTACTATTGTACGGTGATAACACATTCAATATAGAAAAAGAAACGTAATATTAAGATCAACAATTTCTTATTTGTGTTTAACTATTTAATTAAACGGCATGAATATTTTAGTCTCTGATTCTGACAATTTCCTAAAACGATTAAATGACACTAACCCATGCGCGGCGACATGAATATTGCTTTTTTATGATTTGTAAGAGGTTTCATTTCTTTATTTGTAACAACTTTTATCAACGTTTCTCTATATAATCAATATGATCTATGAACATTTCTTTATCAGCGGTAAAAGCATCAACATCTTTGATTGAATTGTGGCAACGATATTCAATTGTGACTGCAATAAATGTACTTCTAGTCCGTCCTGTAGTGTGACTCATCATCTCGAATGGGCATGCACCAATTCCAATTCGGTTCGGTTCCAATTCTGGAATTGGTTAGAATTGAAATTGAAATTGGTCGGAATTGATCAAGAATTGGTTGGAATTGACATGGAATTGACTCAAAATGACTAAAAATCGTAGAAACTTCCATATTATTCACTGAAACTAATCAAAACTAAGACTAGATTAGTATGAATCAATATAAATTACAAGAAATTGATCTGATTTAGTCAGAATTTGTAAAAAAATTTCTATAATTGATTTAGAATTGATCAGAACTCATACAAAACTGAATAACTAGTGTCAGTTCTTAGTCACTTTAACTGATAAAAACTAGAATACATTCAAATAGAAATAACAAAATTTTATTTCTATTGTTGTCCAATAGAGTAGATAAATACTACTCTTGGCTATTCATATGCTTTTCTATTATATCAATGAGTGTGCAATGATTTTGAGTCATTATCAGAATATTTCAGTTTATATCATCTGTTCTTATATTTGAATGTATCAAGGACATTTAGATTTATCTTTGAGTTGTTAGCGACAAGATATGAATTGATTGCACTATGTTTATTTATAGAATACATCCACGTTGTTGATATATGCTTTTTATACGACTGATCATTCTATGAGCAGCCTCAAGAATCATTATAGAAATAGTGCCGAAATCAGTAGATGATCTCTATGTATAGCGACGAACTGCGCACGTACTATAAATTACCCAAATCAGTTTCATATTTTTTATTTAGTTTTTAGTTTATTGTTCATAACAAAACATAAGAAGTAACGCTTTTAATGAGATGTTTATTTTGAGATTTACCTTTTTCTATAAAGAAATAGATAATTTTAATTCCTAATACCATACGTGCTAATTTTAAAAGACTGATGAGATTTGATTCTGCTAAAGAGAGAATCGGTTTAATTGAAGTAAAAACTAATCACCTGACATATACATATGACAGAAATGTATGATATATTAATTCGCTAAAAAAAGTGTACAAACCGAAGATTTAAACTTACAGACTGTTTCGCTGAGGACTAATGTTTTAAAAATCTTTCTTCAGCTAGCTTTAGTGATAAAAAAATGGTAAATAATGATAAGGGTGGGGTGGGTGTGGGTGTGGGTGTGGTGTGGGTGTGGGTGAGTGTGACTTGCAGTTACGGGTAGATGTAATGATATCCACGCCCGCATCCTAATATTTTGCGGTTGTATTAATGATGCATTTATTCAACAAAAGACTCAGTCAGAAAAACAATTACTTAGACAAAAGAAATTTGTTCATATTTATTTCGATAAACAAAAGCATATTAAAGATATATGTTGAAATAATTCATGTACTCTTGTTTGATGATTTTGAACTACTATCAATAGAAATATTAACAAGATTTGGAGTAAAATTAGTATTCGATAATGGTGATGATGATGAAGATTTTTTATCAAGTTTTAACTGAGATGATAATGGTTTTACTGTAAGTTTAAAACCTTGATCTGCTGTTAATTGTTCAAATGTATTGATAAGATTATCATCACCTATAGTTAAACATAGAGATACAAGTTGTTGTTCAATCTTTTTATTAGTTTCACGTTGTAGACGAACATCAATATCAAGGATATCTTGTTGAATATTTTCAAAATTTTGTTGATAACGTTTAATCTAATAAGTAAATTTAAAAAATAAAAATTTCAAATGATTTTTCTACAAACAAGTTGATCAGCACGAACAATCTTAGTATGATATTGTTCAATTTCTTTTTCAAGTTTATTTTGAATATGACATTTATTGGTATTAGTTAGATTTATTTGTTCTACTTCATATGTTAAGTCAGATTGAGATGTCTAGTTAATATTAAAAACATTTTTTTCAAATAATCTATTTTAATTATTGTCTTACTGAACTGTTTTTTTCAGTAAAATCTTTTAATATTTTTCGACGAATTTTAACTTGTTCTGTAATAGCTCGTAAATGTTCTTCAAGTTTTTCCATATCACAAATTTCTGGACCTAATAAAATTCTTAACAAAAATATTTAATTTTATTATATTTACTTGATTTATTTAGTTTATCAAAAGCTTTTTTAACATCCATATTATTCCATTTCAAAATTTGTACTGTATTTTCAAGTGCTCGTAATTCATTCTCAGCTTTAATAACAAGTGCTTCTAATTGATCACCTTGTTTTAATAAATCTTCTTTCATTTGAGCAGACTATACTAAATAATAAGATATGATATATCAATTGTTATTGTTAGAAAAAAAATGAGTAAATTGTATACTTTAATCACATATTGTGCTTGTGCTAAAATATTATCTTCATCTGATTTATCTGTATTTAATGTTATAGCAAAACTTTCATATCGATATTTCAATTTAGTTATTTTCGTAATACGCATAGCAAGTTCAGTTGAAATAGTCGCTTTTTTAGTTCGTTCATCATTGAGTCGTAAACGAAATAATTGACTATTTGCTTGTACTTCCATACGACGTTCTTTAATTGCCTAGAATTATCGTCAGTTTTTGTGAGATTACGTATGGCTTACGGCAAGGTGTTCCTTGGTAACTCGAAAAAACTCTCAAAGGTAAAACTTTCTAGAAAATTACTTTTTGTATCTCAATTTTGTGCTGTTTTAAACTACAATTGATTTCACTTGAATTATGTAAAAGATTTTTTAATCGTTTTAATTCGACATTGAGAAGATTTGTTTCAACAAGATAATCCTAAAAGAATAAAAATAAAAATTTCTATCCTTAGATAAAAAAAACTATCGTTTACTTCTTTTTCATTATTTAGTTTTGTTATCATTTTATCACTTAAATTTGTATAAAGATCAAATTGAAGAAATTTTTCATTTAATTCATTTTTTTCTTCGATTAATTGATCAAAATCACGTTTGATCAATCTTATTTCTTCATGTAAAAGTTTTATTTGAGATTGTAATTGATCATATTGAGATTTTTTCTTCTTATATTCATTTTGTAATTCATTAATTTTTAAATCTGATTCAGAAGATCTTTCGTCCATTTTCTCGTTTAATATTCGATTAAGACGATGATCAATTGTTTTTTTTAAAAAATCTTGATGATATATTAATTCCTGTTGTTTTAATAATTGTTGATCAAATTTATTTATTTGATATTTTATACTATGAATTTGATTTCGATATGTTTGATTATCTAAATCATATTGTTTTTCACGTTTTTTTAATGATAATAATTCATTATTTAATAGAAAAAAAACTTCCGAATATTTTTTATATTGATTATTTAATTTCTTTTGATATTTTCCTTCATTCTCCATTAATTTATCAAATTTCGATAATTTTTCATTTATTGTAAACTTTTCATTAAGTATAAAACTTTTACGATTAATTATATCCTTATGTTGTTGTTTGAGTTTTGTAAATCTATACATAACGAAAAATAAGAATTGAATCGTTTTCACTGATCGAATTACTGGCGTTCTTTCGAACGAATATTCGTTTTTAGTTCATCAAGTGAAGCACGTTCATGTTGTAATTGATTTTGTGTATTGAATAGAACAGTTTTCAATGATAGAACCTAATAAAAGAATTGAAGTTTTCTTATAGGAATCAATCGGTATGTATTAGATCTTTGTAAATTTTATATTCTTCTAACAAAAGTGTTGTTTTGGTCAAATTCGACGCTGAGTACAGTGAAACCTCTCTATAGTGGACACCATCGGAACTTTTCAAAAGCATCCACTGTAGAGACGTGAGGTCACTTCTAAAGGAATATTTTGTTAAACGAAGTAAATGTGTTTTCTGGACATCTGAAGATTAATGAGTAGGACCAAACACTACTATTTATCTTTGCTTTCACCCTCGAAAAACATACAGTTTGCTAAAAAAATAGGCAAATGTTTTGTAGACGCTATTAAACTTGTCAGCAATCCTCATCGTATAGAATTATATAACAATGTCCACTATATGGAGGTGTCTACTATGAGAGGTTTTACTGTATTTACAATTTTTTAGGCATCTTAATCGGAAATTTAAAATGTATTCTTAGAAGAAAAGTAGTTAAATATTATTTTTGTTTTTATTATATGAAGAAATTAATTTGATCATTATTAAATGATAGATTGTTTTGAAATTGAATATAACATTTTTGTATTACAGTATGAAATCTGAAATTTCTAATATATAGAATCACTACTATGAACTACTTGACAATCTTTTTACGTTTAGCTTAACTCAGTTCGAGATAAAAATAAACAAAGGATTTTCCTGTATAAGGTCTATTTCTGAACTTATTATAATATACTTAAAGTTCTTTTTACTATTTTTAACAAATTGTAGAAAATAAGGTAATGTTCTTTGCCGTGAACCATTCATAAGTCTCATACAATCTCGAATATCTTAAAAACTTATCATATTTCATCTTCTCATTATCACAGCTTTAATTTAATGTTTACAAACCATAATGTCAGGTACTATTTTTTTCATATAATTAGTTTAGTACGTAAGATAAATCGTTTTTGCACTATGTTGTCTATCACTGGATATGTATAGAATTTATGACTGAGTACATTAAATATTCGTACAGTGACATCATAATTTGTCTCTACATGATAAGTAAATCTATAAGAAGTTAAAATTATCTTCGCCTAATCAAATATTAATTTGTTATTATCCTTCAATACTTCCTACTCCTTTTCTCCATCTAATAATAAGGCCAAATTATTTCCCTACGAATGATTTACCTCTACTTAAAAAGTACTCCAACCCACGTCCCTCCTACAACGTATCATGTAAATATGAATCATACATCTGTTTCCAAATATTCTTGTTTATCCATAGTTGTCTTTTGTTTTGTTTTTAATATTTGAACTTTTTGTTTAGCTGAATGAATAATTTTTTCCATAATTATATTATTTTTTCGTTCACGTTCGTGGAATATTTTTTGTTCATTTAATTCTTGTTCTTTTGTACGAGATATAATTTTAATTTGTAACAGTTCCTAAATAAAAATTTTAAAATCATTCATTTGATTTAATTAATTTACCATAGAAAATTTATCAATATCATAATCTTTTCGTTGCATTTGTATAAGAATTGTTTCCCATTGTTGAATAAGTTGTTGACGTTGTTTATGAGAACGACGAAATGTATTCGCGATTTTATCTAATTCAATTTCATGACCAACATATTCAATTCTTTCTTCCTCTAATACTCGTTTTAAACTATTTGATTTTTCTGAAAGACGTTCCATTTGAATTGTTAATTCCTTAATATATGTATACGTATGTAAAGAAAATCCGTTCTGTTTGAATATTAATTTTTTACTTTTATGCGACTATTATCTTCTTGTGTATATTTTATAAAACAAAATGTTTCATCATCATGTTTCTTTATCGATTCAATTAATTTTTCTAATGCATCTTTTTCCATTAATGTTTCATTACTAATTGTTGATATTTCTTTATTTAATTCTTGTATTTCCATCTAATAAAAATTTTTCTCAATTGAAAACTGATTATTAGTAAAACTAAAGAATACAATTTACTTCGAAATTAATTTTTCGTTTAGTAAATCGAATCAATTCAGTATCTAAACTCATTGTTAATCGTTTGAGACGTTGTATTTCATTAAGATCAATATCTATATGTGATTGTTCAGTTGTTTCTTCTGTTCGACGTACCATTAACAACCTCTATTAATAATACATATATATATTAATAAATATTATAAAAGAAAGAGAACTTGTATAGTTCGAAGTTCATCTTGAATTATTTTATGATGATTTTCAAGTAATTGAATACGATCAATATTTTCATCGATATCTAATTGTTTCGATGTTATTTCTTTTATTTTTGCTTCAACATTTTCTTCCAATAATTTATTCTCATCATTAATTAATGCAGCTGGAATACGAGTATCGATATATTCATCATGAAAAAAATTTATATTTTTAAACCATGTTGGAATATGTTGCAAATTCATGTTCATCATTTTGTTACTTTCAATTAATTGTTAATGATTCTATTTCTTTTCAGATTGAAACTACGGCGCCAATCATTATTATTTAGAAATTTATATGAAGAAACAACATCTCGTTATGTATAGAACAATTTTTTATTTATATATTTAATAAAAATATTGTTGAAAACATCAGAAAAAGATAAATATGTGTTTAACACTACGAAAATGTTTTATATTGATACTTATAATTTGCAAAGCATTTTGTTGATTTTTTTTATTCAACATTTGTTGAATACGGTCCAATCGTTACAGATTGCATACTGTTAAAATTTGGCCATATACGTCGATTCAAGCTTTGTATAAGTTCAGACGAAAGCAATAAAACTACAATAGGTACGCATAGTTCACATAGATAAGTTATAAAATATAAATAATCTTCGACAGATTTACTAAAAGCATGATTTTCATTAACTATTAGAATAAAAGAAATAATTATAAGAGGTATCCAAACTAGTGTATATATCAAAGCAATTCCTAAAAGTTGTGTAATCATTTTCCAATTTTTTGACCAATTTCTTAAATTTCTTTGCATCATTCGTCGTGTCCATAGAACACGTATCAATAGCATAAGTGATCCAAGTATAACAATAAATACTGGAAATAATATATTAAATAGCCAATTAAACATTGATATACCACCTTCTCGATCAAGACAATTCTCACCACATAAAAATTTATCATATTTTATCTCGCGATGCTCGCCATGATGACATATATCGATGGAAATCGTTAATACATAGAATAAAAATAAATATATATTTATTAATACAAGTGGTACATAATGAAAAATTAATTTTTGTCGTTTAGAACGAATATAAATTGGATAAAATACAAAAATATATCGTTGAATAGTAAATATTGCCGTACACCAAATAACACAAGCCGTAAGAAAATAATCGATCGACTGCCAAAAACGACAGAAAAATTCGGTATGTATTGCAACAGTACCACGAACAAAAAAACTTTAAATACAAAAATATACTAGTCTTAATAGATAACAAAATTATACCTGAATGATGTTGGAATATTAAAAACTATGTTAAATAATATAATAAAAACAAGAATAATTAATATTTGATTTTGAAAACGTCTACGAAATGATCTGAGTTTTACAACATTATAGACTACATAAAGTGCACATATTACTGATGGTATACTGAATAAAAGTAATAGAATAAACTTAGTACGATATATTGCATTCGATTGAATATTACCAGTATAGTTACTCATTTTGTTTTAGTTCAAATGCTCCTTTTTTTCAACAATCATACAAAACATATCGTTTTTTTTCTCAGGAGATTTATTTTACAATGAAAACACAGAAATATTATACTTGAGTTAATTTAATTGACACAATTATTTTCTTTTTAGTTAAAAATAAACTCTATTTTCGAAGAATTTTGTATATATATATAATTAAGAACTTTTAATATTAGAAAAAAACTACTAGAAGAATATACTTTAACTTCACATAAACATAGATAATTGAAGTTTATTACGATAATAATAGATGAACATACGTAAGGAAAAAAAAGTAATTATTATAATTTTAATCACGCTTGATAAACATTGGTATATAAAAATAGAAATATGAGATGTTGTGTACTTACTTTATGGATTCGTCTCATTCTATCGGCAAGAAGAACAAATAGATTGTCTTGTTATACATCAATATTAAAATATACTACTGAACATGGCGATGAAATTAAAATCTAGTCCTAGTAATTTAACATTTTATACAACTTGGTGGTTAACTTCAACATCATCAATTTCACCTAAAATAACATCATCTAGTCAAACTTCTTTAAAGCTAGATGACAAATGTAATATTATTGAACAAGTAATTATTCATATAATTATATATGTTTTATATAAATTTTTGTTATACTAGGTTATCAATCAAGATGAATTCGTATCAAATTGTTGTATTCCAATTAAAATATTTCGTATTAAACGATGATCGTTTGTTGTCTATTGAAAATTTCAATAAACGCGAAAAAAAATACATCTATGAAATACTTATAAAAGTTCAAAAGTGATGATTGTCATTATGAATAAAAATAAGACGGTTTTTCTTTATTCTCCAGTACCATCGGATTGTTTACTTGAGTGTTTTGATTATAATTATTACATATAAACATGTTCCGGCTGAGTTTATTTCGATTATCATTTTTTTTCTCGTCAACCACAATTTCTGTTATCGACAAAAATACCAAAACACGTTCTTTAAAGTTATTTTAGAAACGTCTGAATTTTTCTAACTGGAAGTAGGTTGAAAAATGACGGCTTATGTTTAATGATTACATTTGCGAAATTCATCAGACCGAACTGAGATTATCAGTGAATATTTAATTCAATCCTCCCAGTAGCATATAAGAAAAGTAACTACTTTCAAGATGCCCTTATCTGCAACATCAAGTAATAATTAGTTTTACCATAGACTTATTTTCAATTTCTTCAAAATGTCATTCTGGCTCAATATTTACTAGGTACTTTGATATGTGCTTTCTAGATAAATAGTAGCATCAGATTCTCATGATATTGATATCATTAAGAAGAAATCTTGTTGAATTTATACGAAAAGATAATAAAATGTAACAAATTCTTATTTAAATCATTCCTAATCTTCGTTGGATGTAGTATATGATTGTTCAAGATAGATTTTCTTTATTATAATAATACATTTCAACATGATTGCATTAAAACCTTTAGAGTATGAATGTTATATATATATTGATATTACATCCTCGAGATATTTTATTTATTATTTCTACTATATGTTTATATTTACTCTCTCTCTCTTTATATGAAAATATATAATCTATTCCTTTTCGTGAATGAAAGTATCATTGTTTACGATATACAAATTTACCTCAACATAATTCTACATAAAAATACTCTTGCTTTAAGATTAATATAATAATTCATTCAGGTTATTCGAGATATACTTATCTTTTAAGTATATCTCAAATAACCCGAATTTATAAAAGCATACTTCCTTTTTCTGTTTATCTCATGATATAGATCTTCAATGTATTGATAGTGTCTGTATTTTGACAATAGTTTATGTATCTCAGCTGGATTTATCTGCTAAACTGATAAAGTTTGGTCAATACAGATATATGTGAAATATCTAACGATTTTCGAAATTAATTTTGAAAAACTTATCTTGTTCTCAAGAAAATATTCTATTACATTCTAAGTGACATTTAAAGTTTGCCTGAGAAAATCTTTTATGTAAGCTGATTATGATATTTTCGTTTATTATTTTACTTTCAAAGAATTAATTCTTTTAATGGTAGTATTAACTTGTCGTTCATAGAAAATTTTGTATAGTATGTCATCGGTTAATACTAATCTTGGTAAAAACAACACGAAGTACTCGATAACGTTTAACATTTCAACGTCTTATTCTATAATCTTATCCATTTAATCGACGAATACGATGCCAATATTTCCGCAAGAAATACTTGCAATTTTATTTTTTTCTTCCTCTATTATTTGATATAATGATCTTCTTAAAGGATAATCTTGTATAACATAGTTCATAACTATCACCATATTATTCATATGATTTAACACGATCTTATATAACAAGTCATATTTTTATTTAGACTGGCATTTTTTTGTTTTCTTGCTAGGCTTTTACTGATTAACCTATGTCGGCTTACATACCGGAAAATGTTACAAGGAAGCAGATGATTCACTAAATATATATTAAAGAGAATAAAAAAACATATTTCTCTATCATTGATAAATAAATTATAAACACGTACTATAAGCAAATACAAAAAAAAAAGAAAATTGAAATTCGAGAATTAATTTTATGTTAATTTCTTTTTTTTAGATAATTATTATAACAGCATCAATATGAGAATGATTATACAGATTAATATATACGAAATATAATTTTATAAATAAATTTGCATAATTTACGATTGGACATTTAGAGACAAAATCGATTCTTCTTGTATAAATGTCTTAGAAATAATTTAAAGCATTTTTTTTATTATTATTTAACTTTCATTTTTCTAATTGGATCTTCAGTTGTTATATTTTAAGTCTAGTAAAATTAAATCAACTCTCATTATTTGAATATAATACAATAAAGTAATCTCTTTGAAATTAATCAAACACGTTACAAGTCAATTTTTTTTCTTCATTAGAATTACAATCCGGTTATCAATATTATTTTTATTTTTAATCCGATTTTTAATAAGAAACACTTCGACTTAATCTCTCTCTCTTTCTCTTCTCATCATGATGTTAATAAAAATATGTCCTATAAGAATCATATAGATCTACTTCTTTTTTTTGTTCTAGTGTAATATTATCTTCAATTATTTAGCAATAAAATAATAAATTAATTATTAATCATTTTGACGTATTAAATTGTTTTTCTCTTGAAAATAGTCTACGATGTAATGTCATCAAGATCTTTTATTTAGAATATCTACTTGTTTATTATTAATTAGAAAAATTTGTTTTCTAAAGGTTAGATCAAACTATATTATTATGCTCTTCTTGTAGTTCTTAAGTTAACACATATTACTATAGCGTAGACAGAAAGACATATGAAACATGTCATAGAGCGTCTATCATTAATTAAATATATAAGGTGAAATAGTACAAGTATGATGAATAGTTCCTATTTTCAGCTATTTTGTTTAGTGAAGTCGAAAATATTTGTAATTTTATACTTGACTTTATTATAATAGACATGTTCTCTTCACAATTAAAGTAGATAACATTCTGAGAATTGTTGAAAGGATTTAATATATCCGATCATGTATGACATCAATCTATCATGCTTATTAAATGATATTATAATAATAATTCTATTAACAGTAGCACTCTTCGATACGGTAGAGTGATCTTATATTTCGAAAGGAAAACAAGTTTCGTTATACTAACTATATTATATATTTATATTTCTCTCGATTTTCCTATAGAACTATTCGCTTGAAAGAATAAATTTCTACTTAAGTGGCATTGTAAATGAAAAGCGGAAGTATTTCTCATGTCAAACAGTTCAAATATGATGATGAATGAAATTGTTTGATTTTTTGAATATATTAATAGGTTCTTTCTCTCTTTTTTTTCTTCTATTCTATTTCATAATATCATTATGACATAGGAAAGAAGTAAATTTAAAAAGAACTAAAAATAAGAATGTCTATCTTTAACAATAAAATCAAATAATAAGAGTTTTTCAAGAAGAGGAACAATAAAATTTGAATAAATTCTACATTTTTTCCTCTTTTTTAACACATATTCGATTCACTTTTCCTAATTATTCATTGGTTATGACTACAGAACAAAAAAGTATTGCTTCGTTCTTCTTTACACTCGGTCGACAGCGGTGATGACTAGAGATAGTTAACGACAACGAAGAAAAAAACTGCCCGACAACTCGACCGGGCCTCTCGTCTGATTTATTAGACATCTTCTCATTCTCTTCTTTTTTCTTCTCTTTTTTTCTGTTCTTCTCGCTGACTACACCATCTATTTTCATCGTTGTTGTTAATATAATAATAATAATAATATTATTATTTTCGAGCACAGTTCTCTTCTCTCTTTCCCCTTCATTCGGAATAATATTACTTTTTTCCACACACATAGACATTCAACTCGACAAGAACAAACAAAGACAGTTTAACTATGGGTGACACTATACGTTCGTCTACTCTTTTATTTTCCTCTTAACTATCTCTCTATTGACTAGGCATTGGTGCGCGCATATATATATGAATATACAGGAAGAGAGAAGAAATACGAGAATTCGTTTTCATTTTCGATTAGTTATATATGTATCATAAGGGTAATGTAAAGAATGTGATCAAATTCTTTTTTTTTATCGCTATAGTCTTCATTGTATAAAAAAACGGCCAAAGAAATGATTAAAAATCAAAAAACATTTTATCGTTAATTAACTTCCCTTTGTTTTTGCCTCACTTGTTCGTTTCTTAATTAGACAAAGACATCGATATGTTCGGCAAAAGGTAAGAGTACAGTATAAATATATATATATATATAATATGTCTAATATTAATAGAAAAATTCCTAGTGAGAGAGAAAAAAGTTGTTAATCTCTTTTTAATTATTATTTCTTATTCTATCGACATACAAAGAAAAAGCCTTTCGGTTTTGACTTTGATGAAAAGAAACGAGAAAAAATTGGAAGACTAAAAAGAAACGACTAGATTACTTTTTGATTCTTATATATATATATATATTTATATATATATATGACCGTACCAAGACGGTTAATGTGTTGGCAATTAAACTTGGCCTATCTCTTCTTTTTCTCCTCTCATATAACACTATATATTCGTGAATATGCAAATCGAGCGCGAATAAACGAGGCTCGTATTTGTGTTAATCGCCGATCATTTTCTCTTTCCCTTTCGATTGCACATTTTTATTCCTCTACTCTCTTTTATAGACATTAATAGGTACTGTATGATGACGATGGAAGCATCATCGAACAGTCGAGATGGATTATCATCAACATCATTACAGTTATCTGTTGAACAATGGGAATTATTAAGACGTTTACGTAATAGTCATTTATCAAAAACACAAATTATACGAGCTTATGATGAACTTGATCGTCTTGATCGTGAACTTGGAAATCTATTTAATACAGCACCTCCTTCATCATCAACAAACGTTCCTCTTCCTGATCCTGTTTCGCCATCGACTATGATTACACAACAGATATCTCCATCTTCTTCAAACAATAATAACAATAATAATAATAATAATAATAATAAACGACCCCATAGTCATACTGTCAATGGTTTAGCATCAAGATCGTCATCAACAACTTCTAATGGATATCATACTCAGTTACATCATCCTACACCACCATTAAATGTGAATACTCCACGTCCAAGAAATGGTGGTAACGAAATCAATTCAGCCAATGTAAATCAATATGAATCAATGACTCAAAAT